AAAATTAATAAGAATTATAAATAGAAATTATATTCTAGAAATTTTATTAAATATTTAATGCATTTAAAAAATTATACTCTTCTATCTTTGAGTAATCTTTTTTTAAAAATATATATGTATTTTTGTTGTGATTAAGATATGGTATAACTTTGTGTGCCTTCCAACAAGCAACAGTGCAACACAATGATTATGTCATTTTTGTTTAACATTGGCAAACGAGGATGTAATGATTCATTGTGTCACACTGTGTCATTTGTGTCACTTGTGAAGGTACATTTTATTAGAGCATGAATGATTATGAAAATAGCATCATTATAAATTGGTTTTGTGTAATAAATGTGGATGGTTTGTCAATATTTTATTTTCTATTATATACCATTATTTTGCTTTATCTTTGATCTATAAATATTTTGTATGCTGTTAGTAACATATGATCTAATAAAAATGTTAATTTGTATATAACAGTTTTATGTTTATGTTCATGACAGACAAATCCCAGAACAGTGGTCTTTGTCAAACTGGCAATGTATGGAATACAAGAAGACATCTTGGTTATTTGGGAACACATGCTCGGCGTATCTTTGTTGACAATATTTTGAAAAGGGTAACCAATAGTCTTGCAGCAGATTTACGAAGACGTACAGCAAGTAGACTTGTTTTTGGTGATTCTGCGCCATTTTTTGCTCTTGTTGGTATTTCATTAGCATCAGGTACAGGAATATTGACAAAGGATGATGAACTGGAAGGAGTATGTTGGGAAATTCGGGTAAATGCATTTTAGTTTGATCTAAATACTGAGAAATAGCTCATTTTTCACAAATATGTTACCACTAATATATTGGGTTGTTTGGAAAGTTCGTGCCGACTAAAATTTAAATTTTAGTATACATTTATTAAATTAAAATTTTCTGCGTTTCAATTTTCCTTCAACATCGGCACGAACTTTCCAGACAATCCAATAATACAGAAATGTTATGTTACTACCATTCTTAGCTTATGAAATGTAATCTAAGATATAGTATGTTATGTTTAGGAAGCAGTTTCGAAATTACAATGGCATTATATGCCTAAAGACTGTCAAACCGTTCATACTGATGAGAACACTGTAACTTTACAAAATTTTGTAATGGGACCTATAATTGCTAAAGGTTGTTCTGCTGCTGTATATGCAGCACGATTTGTAAATACGCGGGATGAAGATGATTTAATGGATATTGAAGTGAAAACAAAAGATGCAAATGAGTTTCCATTAGCTGTAAAAATGATGTTCAATTATGATGCAGAATCCAATGCTGCTGCTATTCTAAATGCAATGTATAAGGAGACAGTACCGGCTAGGAAACATTATAGAAATGATAACTTGACTACTTGGGAGCAAAAATTAACAGAAAATAAAGTCATACTACCATCTCATCCAAACATTGTGTCAATGTATTGTGTCTTTACCGACATGATACCAGTATTACCTGGTTCTTGGAGAATGTATCCTGATGCTTTACCAAGTAGAATTAATCCTCAAGGATCAGGCAGAAATATGAGTTTATTTTTGGTGATGAAAAGGTTATTTTTTTTTAATGGGATAAGGTTACACTTATATTCTCACGATATTTAACATGTCGCATTATTTTTAGATATGACACCACTTTGAAACAATATATAACAAGTCGAAACGTTGATATGAGAGTATCAATATTATTATTCGCTCAGCTTTTAGAAGCAGTAGCTCATATGAATGCAAATGGCGTAGCACATCGGTAAGATTGAATATCTTTCTATCATTGCTATCTTATATTAATTACATGCAATGATATTTGTTCTATAAATCGACGAGATTTATCTTAGATTCTTTTCTTTTTTTATTAATGTTTACAAATTAGAGATCTGAAAAGTGACAACATTTTACTCGATCTGTCAGAAGAGACTGATAATTCTCCGTCTCTAGTTGTGACAGATTTTGGTTGTTGTCTGGCCGATAAAACCCACGGGTTATATCTGCCTTATAATTCTCATGATATCGATAAAGGCGGTAATATTGCACTGATGGCACCAGAGGTGATAACAGCGGAACCAGGTCCTTTTACTAGTATAAATTATACTAAAGCTGATCTTTGGACAGTAGGAACTATAGCATACGAAATATTTGGAATGCAAAATCCATTTCATGGCAAAAAGGATGAAAAAGCTATTTTAAATAATTATAATTATACTGAAAATGAACTTCCTGCTTTGCCAGACAGTCTCCCATCTATTATCAATACTGTCATAAAAAATGCGTTGTCAAGAAATGTGTATAAGGTTTGTAAAAAAAGCAACAATTTGCTCAAAAATATAATCTAGTTTTAAAATCGTAATCTTGTATAGAAAAAAAAAATATTAAAACTTTTTTCTAATACTTGCACTAGCGACTCGATAGCGAATTAGCAGCAACTGTAATGCAATTGTATCTATGGGCACCTAGCTCATGGCTAAAAAAAAGTGAGGGACGATTACCATCCAGCAATGAGGTAAATATATACAACAAATATACATAATAGATCTATTAAATCGAATATTTATTTGGTATTTATTAAATTATTTAATACAAAACTTTTATATATCGTACAGATTATGCAATGGCTTTTATGCTTAACCACAAAAGTTCTTTGTGAAGGACGGAAAGAAAATTTGCTCCTGTCTTATGAATCGCATGTTGATACAAAACACGATATCAATAGACATAATGCATACAAATCAACACATTCGAAGCATTTTTATGGAAGGCGCACAATGCCAGAATATCAATTAATTGCAAGCTTTCTTAGAAGGGTAACGCTCACTAATATTAAAAATGCACTAAAATGGACACAACGAAATATATAATTAAAATATGTGTATATATATATATATATATACATACATAAAGCATCAAAAATTCAATTCACTTTTGCACAGAAATTATCGTCAGTTATAGAGAAATAATTTTGAAATCTAACTTGATAAATTCAGGAATACTTTAAGTTTCTTTTTTCTATTCTTTTTGCTTGCTATTTTTATATTTAATCTTCAATATTTAATTTGATACTTCAAACACAAAAGGGCAAAGAAGTAATTTAAAAATTAGAAGTAAGATGCAAAATTTATTTTTGTTAAATTAGCCATTATGGACTAACGTTCATAAATGCTTTTGTAATTTTAATGTCTTATATTTTGAAATAAAATTATTTTTACATATTTAATTTACGTATTTAATTTATTTGATGAGTATAATCATTAATATGTTATGGAGAAAATACAAAGAAATTGATAACATAAATATTATCAATCAAAGCATATTAAAATATGTTTGATAATATACAAATATATTTTGAGGCATGGAACTAGGCTGTGTTGCGGATAAAGTCAAAACTTATGTGAGATCGTTACATTGGTAATATTAGCTTTTAAAATTAAATACACAATATAATATATTTTCAATTGATATGTTATTTATTTTCCTACGTTTCTTCTCCTTCTCATACATTTTATAAATATATGCGCAATCGCATCCTTTTCTACTGAATTTTACAAATGCTCGTAAATAAAAAATATATATAGATACTTTCCAGTTATAAAATTATTGGATACTTGCATATACGGAGACATAAATTGAGTGCGTTCGAGGAGACGCTATTTAGTGCTACAAGCTATTTACGGAACTGCAGACAACGCTAACAAATTATCATGACACTAATGGTAACGTTTTACGTCAACCATGTTATCAATGCTATTCCTTGGCGAAATAATATACAATATATATTGCATGATACATTGATGAGATAATCATATATCTCGTCAATGTATCATGCAAATATCTTTATATAGCTTATAAAGATAGCTGATTTATACAAAAATTTGCGTAACTGTTAAAATTTAAATAATTCGAAAAAAAAAACGATAATTGTATAGTTTAGCTACATCTCATCTCAAAAATTAATAAAATTAGGCTTATTCGATGCGATATATTTTTTTGCATGAAATGAAAGAATCTGACAAAAATAAGAGTGTGCGCTCCTTTTATAAAACCAAATCAATTCCTTTTTTTTTTGTAAATGAACGATTCCAGTTTACATATAACTTTTCACACATAGTAAGGACAGAGCAGGATCTTTTTAAAATACATTTTTTAACAAGTATTTCATTGCACTTGCTTAAAAACATTAAAAACATTAAGTAAATTTCGCGCACTATTGTAGCGAGAAAAACGCATGCGCATGTGTCCACAAATGATCCGCCTATAATATGTATATATATATATATACATACAGGGTGGGCCATTTAAAATTTGGAATTTAATTTGGCTCTAAAAAAAAGACGCATGAATATTTTTCAAAGTTTATGGCTTTATTGGAAAGGTAGTACATTGCCATTTACCGAAGTCTTTATTCAAAATTCTTCTCAAAGAAGTGCATGAAATGTTCAAATTTTGAGAACGATGGCGAGTTGATGTTGATGATTGTTCTAAACAACAGCAGCAATGTTTTCGATTGACCTTACTGGATGAGCACGTGAACGAGTTGCTTTATCCAATAAGGATCCAGTTTGCCGAATTCGCTTCACAAATTGATCCACAAACTGCGTTGAAGGCATTTCTTTTCTATCAAATTTTCCACGTAAATTTCTTACAGTTTGGATTGAAGACTCACCACTTTGGAAGTAAGTCAATATTTCCCAATTTTTGTTCAAGCGTATAGCGACCCATTTCGTAAATGTCAAACAAAAAACTAAATTTTTGATACGTCATAAATGTTATTACGCCTTTCAAACTCAAAATATGAAATTCCAAACGCTAGATGGCCCACCCTATATATATATGCTGGGCTGCGTTCAAGAATTATGTCTAGATAACTCTAGGTGCATTTTTGCTATAATATGCGTAATGTAATCTATAGCTTAAAGTTATCTGGACGTAATTCCTGAACTCAATCCTGGTATTGCACTAAGGCTGTTCTTTAGGGCTGTGTTCCGTTTCACGCATGCTGCATTATTTATCCTTGTTATTCATCGAATATTAAACAAGGATGAATCATTTCGCAGCCTAGCTAAAGTTCCTACATGATTTATCTTCTTTTCTCTCCACGTTAGAGAAAAAAAGAGAAAAGGTGAACCGCGCAAGAAGTTCAGTTAAAAAAAACAGCTCCGTCTAAGGCCTGTTTTCTGTAGTGAACTTTTGGAACTTAAAGTGAGATAGAAATATGATTGATATTTGTTTAAAGCGAGAAAGAGAGTTCTAGAAACAGTCTGGTGCAGAAATAGATCACTAGTATATTTCGCAGCTATGATAATTTCCTAACCTCAATAGTCAAATTTTTACGCTTAATATCTCGGTTCTCGGCGCAGAGACGCTTTATTTTTGCTAGATTCTTTCGTTTCATGCAAAAACGTGTCGAATAAATCTTATTTTGTTTATTTTGGAGATGTTGTAGTTAAACTGTCATTTGTAGGTTACACTGTTTTTAATGGAACGAAATATAAAATTCAAAATTGTTTTAACCTTATTTTGCTAGTTAGTGAACTTGCGGATATATTTTTTCAATTTCGCTAATACAGTTTATTAAAGTGTGAGACATTTTTATTGAGTTAAGTGTTTCCTGACTTCTCATCCTTTCGTAAAATCTCTGTGAAATGGCAGAAAAAATGGAAAACATTAGTCATGATTTTGACGTGGATGGTGAGTAAAAATTACAACATAAATTTTAATATATTTATAATTCAAATAAATAAATCAAGAGCTACGAGTCTATTAACTGTCTGTTTATTACAAATTAAAAAAAATCAAGTTAACAAATTATGAATCTATGACTGTTTATTATAGATTTAAAATTATTACAATTGATATGAAATATTTGTAACTCTTTTAATGACAATGAGCATGTATACTAATATTCCATGTACAGAATATATTATGTATTTTAACCCTTAATATATATGATGATTTTTGGTATCATGCAATAGGTTTTTGTATTGAATTAATTTTTATTATTTATAAGTATATAAAAATTTTTAAGTGATTCTTATGTATACTTTTACATCTCTAGAAAATATTTGTGAAGTTGTATATTTATAAAAAATTGTATATAAATGTTATAACTAATTAACTAATTAATGTAAATTGTATATAAATGTTATAACTAATTAATTGACAAAATGAGGAAAATGGACTTTTTTTATATATACAATAATTGTCATAACATGACAGTTTTAGAGTATTATATTGGACTAAGAAATAGTAAAGATCTCAATTTCGAAATTTTTTTGTCGTTTTCGGCATAAATTTTATTTCACGTATTAATGCATATACTTTAATTTTGGGAAAGGATTTTCGAATCTGTAAAAGAGGAAAAAAGTAATTGTTATATAAAAATTATATGATTTATTCGGTACAGATAGCTTTAGGGTTAAGATTCAGCCTTTAACAGTTAAAGGCTTTATTCCATACTGTTGTGTAATCACATTTATAGTTTGATGAACTTTCTTTAATATTGTTTATATACTGATAAATTATATGAAACTCTCTGTATATTTCAAATGTGTGCTAATGTACAGTACATAAAATGTATAATATTCTATAATACAAATAAATTGCTTTTTTGTGACATGGATATCGATATTCATTAACTTTTTATTGATATCAAAATCGATTCATTAGCTTTTGATTCGAATTACAATTACTAAAGCAATAATTATAAACTCAAAGTTATTATTGCTCATCTGAGAATTTACTTGATATTATAAATGTAATAGATGTAAAATATTTCATGAAAAACGTTACTTTACATAAATCTGAAATTCTAAAGATATACATTCATTATTATGTTTAATATAACAATTTTTTATGATAACATTTGATACATAAGGTGTGATTCGATTTGTAGACTCTAAAATCCGGACAAATTTCAATTTAAATTTTCCGCTATATTGTGCTCTACAGGAATCTCCTAAGTGTCATGTAAAAGAATTTTTTGTAATATTTAATTTTTATTATATTAATTTTTCATTAAAAACATTTTGTTTAAAGAAATTGTTCGAATTGTCCGGATTTTGGTGACGCACCCTGTACAGTCTATATTTTTCGTTGAAATTATTTTATAATTAAGTTCTTATCTTAAAGCTTTGCATATATAATATTTGGAATTTATAAAAAAAAAGTAGAAAATGAACTCGATTAAACGAGAAAATAAAATATAATGCGAGTAGTACTCTTGTCGTTGTGAAGATCATTCTTCGCTCTTCGGCGGAATGATAATGAAATATACCGAATAAAAGAATGTTTATATTATATAAGTACTGCTACGTGGCCCATTCGGAGAAATCCGATAGATTAAATACGTATTTACCCCAAGTAGAGAACGCTATTACAGTAACAACGAGCGTGATAATGCTAGGACCGATACCAGCAATCATAAAATCTTTTGTTTTTATGTGTCCCGCGGCACTAGCAATTGCATTTGGTGGAGTACCTACTGGTAGATGGAACGAAAAGGAACAGCAGAGAGTTGCTGGCAGCATTAAATACAAAGGATGTATTTTAATAGCCACACACTGAAAAAAAAAGGAAAAGAAAATACTGATATAATTCTTGGAAACTAGCTTGTACTATATAAGTAGTAAAATCTTGTCTTGCAAGCAAGACAAGTAAATTTTAATCAGCAAATGAAAAGTATTTTAAATAAAAATATATAGTTTAACAATTGTAAATATATAACTTATATATGTTTTTATATGTAAGAAAATATTAGCCAAGAGCATAGACGTTACATAGACATGCCATGTAGAATATATTCATTTTAATATATCAAAAATATTGTCTCTTATTTAAAAATGATTCAAATAAAAATACATACATTATATTTCTTCATTTATAAAGGAAATTATAAATTAAGAAATATAATGCATGTAAATTATACAATCTAAATTGTATATTTTTTAAAAATGCAAATAATTTTTTTCACTTCAATTAATCCATTTTATAATCCTGCGAATTAAAATATTAAAAATAATATTATATTATATAATGAAATTTTTTATACTTTATATTAAAATATGCTAGAATAAAATATCTCTTAAATTATTATTAATTGATCTCTGTTATATTGAAGTTTATCGTTAATTTCGCTATACTCACCATCTCTGCTAATACGGGCAATATAATATTCGCGACAGCTACGTTAGCTGTTAATTCCGTCACGTTCTCGGCAAAAAAGCAGACAATCAGCATTATTGCTACCACGTTAATCTTTTGTAAACCTATCAGGTAATGACCGAGCATTTCTGACAGACCTGATGAAGTGCTACCTGCTGAAATGGCAAACCCACCACCTAACACGAATATTAGACTCCAATGCATTTTCTCGTTTATCATTTTCCAAGTTATTAAACCAAGCGATGCTTTTGTGGGTCGTTTACGCGGATCTTTACTGAATGCATATAAAAAGTCCAATTTCGACGGAATAATAAAAAACAATATCGTTACACACACGGCTGCTGTCGAATCCTTAACAGACCTATGACATAAAAATTCCGATTATTTTACATTCGCTTTAATTTATTATTTTATAATTTTTTATGTTTATATTATTTTTTTTAATTTTTCGTTATTTTGATTACATTTTGGGTTACGTCTAGATGTACATTTTATTACATTTTATTAAACTTAAAAAATTATGAGTTTAAGAAAATTATACTTATAATTTTACCAAAATTATGAATTATAAAAGTATAATGTAAAATTAGTTTTTGTTATTTTTTTCTTATCTTTTGATTATTTTCATGATAACTCATAATGAAGGTTAATTTTGAAATGGAAAATGCATATTTTATGATACTTATTCTTATGATACTTATTCTTATCAATACTCACAAGTTTGTAACATAAGCAGCCCAGCCCGGCATAAAACCAGGGCTTCTGAAGAACCACAAGAGCACCACAAAAATAAATAAGACACCCACGGAGAACTCATGCCATGAGATCGGTCCAAGTTCTTTGTACCTTTTTTCAATAACTCCCGCTGCGATACGCTCGCCTTGTTGTCCAATATCTATCGCACGAGCATCTTTGCTTTCCGGTCTAAAAAGACCCATATACATCACTTGCAGCCACAACCATGTAAGCAAACCCATTAACAGCATGGGTGGCACCGAATATAACATCCAAGAGGCAAAATTTATGCCGGGACTATTGGGAAAACGCCTGGAAATGAAAATAAACTTTATAATTGTTATTATTATTTCTTCTAAATTATAAATATAAAAAAAAATTAAATATGTCACACTGGAATTAAAAATTTATAAAATTAATTTGTAAATATGAATATCTATTTTATGTACGTCATAATTTTTTATATATTATAAATGTTTTGAACTTATTACTTTATGACATTGAAAATAACACATTTGACATAAAATTTGCTGTTTACTATAAGCACATACTTTTCTAAAAATCCCTTTAATGTTAAATTGGTACCGCTTCCCACAATAGTGCCGGTACCACCGAGAGTAGATGCGTAAGCCGCGACGAGATAATATACCATTGTACTATGCGTTGGCCTTTTGCTTTAAAAAAAAGAAAGAAAAATTAGCACCGTAGATATGAATTGTGATACAATTAGAATGGATGAACTTGCGTGAAATTTAGTTTTAATTAATGTTTAAGTTTAATTAATAGAGTAAATATTAATATACACACACTCTTTCTGAAAGAAAAGATTGGTTGAATATGATATAGCATTTAAATTACTGCAGCAATCTTTTCTTTCAGTACAGTATTTATCAATACAGTTAATTACAGATATTATTAATAATACGAAAAAAATGTTTTATTGAAAGTTATATGAAAGTAAAACGGTTTCGAGAATTTTGATTTCTGATTTTTCTTCTAAGTAGAAATGCCACAAAAATATACTACTATTACTTTTTAAGTTACTATCACTTTTTAAAAATTGAGTTATATGATTTTTTTAGCATAATTTTTCTAATTAATCTGTATATGAAAGTATTAAGAAAGAGAAAAACTAAGAATTTATGAAGTACACTTCTGATTTAATATTTTGAATTTATGAATACTTAAAATGTTAAATATCTCGCAAAGTATTAATTTTTTTATTACGTTCGTACTTTTATATTTTTACGATACTTTTACGAACAAAATAACAAAATGAATCAATTGATATAAAGAAAATACATAGTTATTTAAACAATTATTCATTTTGTCTGTATATATATTTTTTAAGCAACTATGTGTTTTCTTTATACCAATTAATTTATCTCATTATTCTGTTCACAAATATTACGATACGATAATCAAAATTAGTTTACAAGATATTTAACATTTTATGTCAACATATATTAGAATAAAATATTTCGAATAAAATAAACACTATATTGATTTTTTAATCTTTACCTTAATATTACCTTACCTTAATATTTTCATATGCAAAATAATTAGAGGAATCATACTATATAAAAATATCATATAATTCCATTAAAAAATGTGGAGATGATATCTTTTGGATGCCTCCTAGAAGAAAAACAATATGATCAAAATGTGTCGAAACCTCATCGTTTCACTTTTATCCGAAATATTTTTTCATAATTAAATTAAATTTTGGAGAAAATTGACTGTATTGATTAAAATGCATCATCCTGTATTTAAAAATTAAACATCTAGAAAAC